TAATTGAATAAACGTATCCACTCCTTCCCTCTTTCTCCCTCGCACGCAGACACACAAAGACAGCATTGAAAAGATAGATCTGTTTGACTATAGGAAACGACAATTAGTGCGACTTCCTGAGAGGCAAACTGTATGTATGGCCCGGGTATTTAAAAAAAAAAAAAAAGAAAAAAACCCATACACACAACCCTTATCCAAATAGTGAACTTTATTTACAATTTCTGCTTGGCCAACGGTGGTGGAGGCAGGAGGATGGGTGCAGAGAGAGCGAGGAAGGGAGCAGGGCTTTCATTTCGCCTCTGCCAGCAACACACTGGTGAGAGGAGCAAGCCCAGGAGGGCGGAAAGGGCCGCCGGGACTGTGCGTGCAGTGGGTGTTTGTGGCAAGGAGGAACTGAATGTTGCAAAAATGGCTCTGAAAAGGTAAAAGGGAAGTGAGCTGAGGAGAGAAGAGGTCCGGCCCAAAACCTTGCTGTGCCCTGACATGCCCTGGTCGGTGAGGCCGGGCCTGGCTGGTGGCAGAAAGGAGAGCTGCAGCAGCAGGCACCTCTGGGTGCTCCTTTATTTTCTTTTCTAGTCCGTGGCAAAGTGGAGGCAACTGGAGAGTGTCAGAGCAGCTGGGGACAGGGACAAGGTGAACACAGGTCTTGTGGGGAGGCGAGGAACCTGAGCAATCTGAGCACTAGTGATGTTTGTCATCATAATCCCAGAGCCCTGATGATGGTTGGGCTCCCACCAGAGCCAGAACCTTGCAGGATCTGGGACCAGGCCCTGGGGTTTCAGGAGGCATGAGGAGTTGATGGGCTGTTCCCAGCAGAGGCAGGGAAGGGTTGCTCGCTGTCGGTGTGGTGGTGACCCCATGCTGGGGGACAGCGCTGCCTGACCCCACGGTGGCTCTGGCACAGTCAGTGCTGCACTGCTCCCACCAGGCTGGGCCACGAGCAGCCTTTCCCAGAGGATTGCATCCTGGTGAGGGGTGGAGGAGGAGAAACCTCTCTAACTGCTGCTTTCCTCTTTCTTCCCCACTGGTCCAACAAGGCACATGTAACACTGTCTCTGGGCTGCCCCCAGCCCTGCAAAGCCCTGTTGGCTCCCCTGTTGGGAGGGGACCTGATCCCCCTGTTTCCCCCCCTCTACTTCTGTTCAGAGAGATGGGAACAGCCCCTTTGATTGTGGTGGGACACGATGGGGTCAAGCCTGCCCAGAGACAGACATGTTTTTTTTCTCTTCTTGCTATTTTTAATGCCTCACAACGCTTTTTTGGATGCTGGCAGGTTATTTTTCAAAGTTTTGGGGCCAGACTTTCCATGAAATCCCACTGGCAATTGGAAGAAGGGCTCTGCCAAAGGGAAAGGCAAAGAGGTGCTGCAGTGATTACCCCCCCCCCCGCCTCCCCCTAGCAGTTTATATAATACAAGTATATAGACTTGCTCCCTGAGGGACCTGGTTCATTCCACTTGTGGCCTGCAGTGCCACTCTTGGTTGGAGCTGTGTCAACATGGCCCCCGTTTGCTGACACCTTTTGTGGGGCTGGGGAAGGGCCTGCACAGGGCCGGGAAGAGGTTTCCCTGGGAAGAAGCGTGTAATTGCCGCTCACCAGACACCCCCCGCGCTCCAGCCGGTATTTACTGCAAACCTGCCAAAGTAAACCAGCCCCGCTGCCTTTTATTTCGGATAAACACAGCGCGGCCACGGTGGGGTGTTGCCTTCCGAAGGGCTGGAGACAGGAGTGGAGGCTGTGTCGCCGGGGGAAAGGGAGGGAGGAGGGCGATGAGTCCTGCAGGGTGCGGAGCTGCCGGCAGGCAGGATGGGTCTGGGCCCCCTGGGGATGCTTGGAAGCGGCAGCCCGATAAGGAAACGCATAGATAGGATGCAAAACCCCACTTAGGTTATGCACGTTGGCCCTGCTCGCCGTGCAGCAGGAGGGCTTGTTCTTTCCTGTAGAGCACCCACGAGCACCCAGCCACAAGCAGGGGATGTGAGGGACACCCCGGGTTTTGCTGTCAGAGCAGGGATTTGCCGTGTGCCCCGGGGCACGGATCCCTCCCGGTGGCACACACCCACACAGCATCTCCACGCAGGCACACAGAGGCCGTGCAGCTCACACACCAGCCCTCCACGCACGCACACACGCCTCGGAGCTGCTCCCGCAGGCCTGGGAGAGGACGTGTGGGCCCGAAAGCTGGGCTGCTTTTATTTTCCTCTTGCCTCCTTCCTCCCAGCTGGCTCTTGAGGCCACCGGGAGAGAGCCAGAGCCTCTCTCCTCCCACACCTCCAACACATACGCACGGGGCAGGCTCGCTGCAGCCCCGAGCTCTCGTGCAAACGCCAAAAGTTGCTTAGGAGGGTGAAATCCGAGGAAGCAAGGCTCTCCCAGCCGCTCAACCACCAAGGGGTCTGAACTGAACTAGGGAAAACCTAGTGAGGTGCTGGCGATGGTGGAGCGGAGAAGAGTTGGGGAAGGTGGGAGCCGCTCCCCCCGGCCCTGGCCTTTAGCTCTTGTGCTCCGAGATTAGACAGCCCTGGCCTGGCCGCTCTCCGGGGAGACAGCGGAGACCTTTCATGCCTCTTTGAAGAGCCAAGATAGTGTCGGCCTTGGTGCAAGCCCAGGCTGCAGACGGGCCCGAGAGGCGCGGGGGCAGCCGGCTATCTCACCGCGCTATCACCCTGCCTCCCCCTCGCCACCAGCCCCATTCCCACCTCCACCCGGCTCCCGGCACTTCGCCGTCGGTCACCCTGGTCTCCTTTTTTTTCTTTTTTTTTTTTTTTTTTTTTTTTTTCCCCTTACCCCACTTCCAACCCTTCGCCTTGCCATTCATTTCTGCGGGCTACTTTATTTATTTATTTATTTATTCATGCGCCTCGCTTATTTATTTATTTCTGGCAAAGAGGCGGCTAACAAGTAGCTGGAAGCACTGGCCAATATTTAACTAAGATGGCTGGCCATCAGGTCCCTTTTGTTTGCTTGCAAATTAATCATCCAGCGCGCAGTCGGCGCCAGGGTAGATTTATCACACACAGAAGGGGGAATGAGGCGGCCGAAGGGAGACAAAGACTGTTCGCACCTTCCCGCTTTTGATCTTAGATTAGTGCCGCCTCCCTTCATAATACGAGTCTCCGGGGGGCTTCGTCGGGGAGGTCACTCGGAACTGGCGGAAGTTTGCACGCCATTAGGCAGACGCTGGAATTGGAAATCATAAGCGGCGAAACGCTTTATTTCGCTCCGCGGGTGGGTGCGGAGCGCGGTGCAAGGTGCGGGGCGGGCGCGGAGGGCGGCGGCGACCCCGGTGGGTGCCGCGGGGCCGAGGGCGAGCTCCGGCGGGGCGGGCGCGGGGCCCGGGGCGCGGCGGGGCCGGGGGTGGCTGCGCTCGTCCCGCGGGAGCCCGCGGGCACCTCCCGGTCCCCCGCGGGAGAGCGGCGGCCCGCTCGGGGTAAATCGCAGCAAACTTCTTGGAGCCGCCGGGCGTTTGTTGTGGGCGCTGCTAAAGGGGAAGGCATAAGGGTTTGGGGGTTCCCACCGCGGCGGGAGCCCGAGAACCGGTTCCGAGCAGAGGCTGGAAAGACTCGCTCTCTTCCGTCGATAAGCAGCTGCACAGCGCAGCCGAGCGCTGCGCGGGTAGCCAGGCTCCTGGCTCCGTGAAACACATCAGACTTCCCCCCCCCCCATCCTCTTTGAACGCATTACTCCCGCTTCCTTTCCTCCCTCCTCCTCTTTTCACCCCCACCCCCGACCAAAGGGGAGATATTTTGGTGAATGCAAAGCGATCCTAGACGCTGGTTACTACAGGGACTTCACCAAGCTGGCGCCAAGCGCTCTTAACCATGTGCGTCAAAAATGCAATGTTAGAAGAGCTAATCACTTTAGAGGTTCCGCTCCCATCTGCGCGCAGCCAGCGCCGAGGCCCCGCGCTCCCCCGCTCCGCTCCCGGAGGATTATCCTCCCCTCTTTAAAGCGGGGTTGGGGGCGTCAGGAGATTCCCCCCACTCCCCAGGGGAGAGTAATGATTCGGCACCTCCCAGCGGTGGGATATCCCCCCTGACACACCCGCGGGCGCTCCGTGCCCTGCATGCCCGCGGCTCCCACGACACGCACAGCCGCAAGCCCCCTTTTGCTTCCCTATACTGTCACCCCCCCAACAAGGAATATGTCTCCCCAGAAACTTCCCAGGAGGATCCTGCCCAGCTCCGTGGGGTAGGATCAGACCCACGCGTGACGCTCTCCCCGGGGGGATGGGGTGTCTCTGGCTCCACGCGAGCCCGGGCACGGGGGTAACCCGGGGCTGGGCCCCCCCGCCCGGCGCTGCCCCGGCCCGGGCGCAGGGAACGCCGCACTTCCCGTCTCCTCCCCGCGCACCTCGTGGAAGAGGAGGGGTGTGGGAGCGTAACCCTCTCGGCGCCAGTGCCAGCCGAGTGGCCTTAATCCTCAGAGCCAGAGAAAGAAAAAAAAAAGGGAATAACAAATAAATAAAAATCCCATTTTCCAGCCGTCGCCGTCGCCCCTCTTCCCTCCCAAGCCCCCGCCGTGATCTGCAGCCGCCGGGTCCGGGGCTGAGCCGCCAGCGGCCGCTGCCCGCCCGCCGCAGCCTCCAGCCGCCCACCACAACAATAATAAAGGGCGGCCGCGGCCGCTGGAGCCGCCGGAGCCCAGCCCCGAACCGGAGGGAGACCCGCAGATCCACCCCCCGGGCCGCCTCTCCCCCTCCCGGGGGTCACCCCCAGATTTGCGGGGGGGAAGGAAAGCGCCCGGCTGCCGGCCTGGAGGGGTCGTTTAAAGAAAGCGACTTTCCCGGTGGAGGGGAGGGGGGTGGAAAACGGAGCGGGGGAGCGGCAGGGAGGGTGACACCAAGCCGGCGGCTGCGGGGATGGATGGGCGTGCGGGGCGGCGGGGCCCGCGGCCTCCCGAGGTGGGTCCGGGGCGGGGGGGACACCCGCAGTACCCCCCGTTACGATACCAGCGGCGTTTGGGGAGGGGGGAGGGCTCGCAGGTTCGGACCCCAGCACCACGCGTGGAGCTTTCCCCCCCGGTCCCGGCGCTTTGGAAGCTCCTACCGGGGAAGAGCGGGCGGGCAGCGCCCGGGAGGCCGGGGGGCGAGGCGGCCCCCAGCACCCCCCTAGAGGCGGGCGCTGCCGGCCCCTTCCCTCCTCCCTCCCTGCTCCCTCCCCTCTGATCATGTTGACATATTCACACGGCCCGGAGTACTAGTGATGCTTTGCTGCAGCGTTACAGTTTCCGACACCTTCTTTTTATAACTCGGCGCTGTCCCCCTCCACCCGAGCTGTCAGAACCCCGCCTATGGAGCCTCACAATTGGTCCGAAAGCGTCAAAGAGCCAATCAAGGCGGCTCCAGCTCCCCTGTAACCCACAACACATCCCTACGATCGGGTGCACGCAGAGCACAGACTCACAGGGAATTCTCAGAGCCGAGAGGCTCCTTCTCCCTCTCTCTCTCTTTCTCTTTTTCTCTCTTTCTCCCTCCCCCTTTTTTTCCTTTCTCTTTCCCTCTCTCTTTCTCCCTTTCTCTTTTGCAGAGACAAGAGTATAATTCTGCCAGATTTTTTTTTTTTTTTTTTTTATTTTTTAAGGCAGAGCGAAAGAGAAGGGGGGGAATTTTAAAGAAAAAGGAAAAAAAAAAAAAGGAGGAGGGTGAAAGAAAGAAGAGATCCTGATGGGAATCAGGGCACCCTGACCAGCTTCTGCTTGGAGAGGGGGAAAGGCGAGGCGGAAACGAGATTTCCCTACAAGTTTTTTGCTGCTGAAGGTTGCTCAGGAGCCTTCCTCGGCCGGCGAAGGGGGGTGGGTTTGTTTGCTTCTTTCTGCTTTCCCTCGTTTCCCAGCCTCTGCTCTGCAGCCTGACCGTACGGAGGAAAGGTGGAGGGGTGGGGGGGAGGGAGGGCAGAGCCAGCCGCCCAAAAAGAAAACCCAGCTTCGAGCCGTCACCCTCCGCCACGGAAGGAGAGAAGGGGGACTGGGACTAAGAGAAAAAAAGAAGAAGAAGAAAAAAAAGGATCTCGGCTTGTCCAGCCCTTCTGCGGCAACAGGAGCAGACAGCGAACCCGGTGGATTTTTTTTTTTTTCTCCCTTCTTCGGCGTTCCTTTTCCAGCGCAAGGACTCCCACTCAGGAAAAAAAACCGACCGACTGAAAAGCAAAACAAAATCTCAGCGACCGAACACGAAAAAAATCAAGACTAATAATGAACAATCCTGTTAATCCGCTGTCCCGAGGGCTGGGGATGTGCCCTGGCTCGGGAAGTTGTAGGCTGTAGAAGTTCTGCCTCTCCCCCATGTACTGTGCTGTCTAGAGCTTCTTTATCCCACCCTATTTTTATTTTTTATTTTTTGTGCTTTATTGCTGTTATTGTTATCTTAATTTTTCTTCTTCGTGATGTGCTGTTAGAAACCACTCCGGGACTACTCCAGCAGTAGGAAGACCGAGGAGTGGAGTGGATGAATTTACCGATGAGAGATCCAGTAATCCCTGGGACAAGCATGGCTTATCATCCTTTTTTACCGCACCGGGCACCGGACTTTGCCATGAGCGCTGTGTTGGGACATCAGCCTCCCTTCTTCCCGGCTCTGGCTTTGCCTCCCAACGGGGCGGCCGCCCTTTCCCTTCCCGGGGCTCTGGCTAAACCCATCATGGATCAGTTAGTGGGGGCTGCAGAGACTGGTATCCCCTTTTCTTCCCTGGGTCACCAGGCAGCAGCTCATCTGAGGCCTTTAAAAACTCTGGAGCCAGAAGAAGAGGTGGAAGACGATCCGAAAGTGCATCTGGAAGCTAAAGAGCTTTGGGAGCAGTTCCATAAAAGAGGCACGGAGATGGTGATTACCAAATCGGGAAGGTAGGTCTGGGTCGGGGGTTCGTGCCTCTTTTCCTCCCCCTCTCCCCCACCCCTCAGTCTCTGCACCCCACCAGGCTGCTCCAGAGCAAGGCTTTCTCTGCGGGCGGCTTTCTCCGTAAATCTCCTTTCACCTGGGATTATTGAAAGTTTTAGGCAGCTGAAGTTCCGAGCCCATCTGGGGCACCACGCTGCAGGGAAAAGCCCAGCCACGAACCGGCCCTGCTCAGCGTGTGCGTGTGCAGGGGGCGAGAGGGGTCCCTTCATGGTTCAGTAGCTTAATACTTTCTGGAGAAGACTGGGAGCAGGAAGAAAATAATTTGGGGTTGGAAAAGGGGGCTGGCCTGGTTTCAGCCTCGCTACGCGCAGTTTTTTCTTCCGTAAGGAAGAGAAAGGGGAATAAAGGAAAAATCCTTTGGAGCGGCGTGTGGCTGCTGGTAGGGCAGGAGCTGCAGGAGGGCAGATAGGCTCGGTAGATCAGCTTGTGGCTCTCTCAGTGCAGGGATTTAGGCGGCGTTTGTGCTGACTAATTATATCTGGAAATGCACAAAAAGGTGACAGAACTCCCCAGCGGTCCTGCAGCCGCTGCTGGAGTGGCAGGGAAGGGTTTGCAGCTCCTCGTTGCCTGTCCCTGTATTTATATAACCTTCACGTGGGAATGAATGAATACACACGGCGCGTCCACGCTCGGCATTTCTGCTTTTTATAGGTTTACCCGTCTGAAATCCCTCTCTATATTCGCTACTCATTGACATCTGGGTTCTTTTACAACTCTGCCTATTGCTGTGATGACACATAGGGTGAAAACCCCCTTCGCGCCCGGGTGTTTTTCCAAGGGGCTCTCTGAGAAACCTCCCCAGCTCTCCGCGTGTGATTTGCCAGGAGAATTACTCGAGGAAGCCAGTCCTGAAAAGTCTTCTTAGATGGCCTTCAGCTGCCTTGCAGGAGCTTCACCTACTTGCAAAGCACCGGTTGCAGGCTACAGGCTCGGGGGAAGGGAAATAAACGCAAGCCCTAAAAGCAGTAAGGAGAGAAAAAAAAAAAATCCCCTCACCCATTTTACTGCCTTCCCGAAGTTTTCTCTGTTAATTGTGGTCAAAAGTTTTTGCGTGAAAGCCTCGGCCAGTATTAAGGGCTCTTACATGTTGCAAAGTCATGTGTTTCCTTTTAAGTTGAGATTTGCTGAATGCCAACCGCTCGATATAATAAACAGCAAATTTGTGGTATCCTGTTGCAGTTTGGAGCCGGACTTGGGAGCGGAGGGGAGCGGGGTTTGCAGGGAGCCCTCGGCACACGGGGGGATCTCTGGCAGACTGGAGCATGGGGAGAGCCCCGGCAGCCACCCTACCCTCGCTGGGGCTTTTTTTTCTCCTCTGCAAAGTGAAAAACTCCCCTCCGTGCTCTTCATCGTGTGACTGGGTTATAATAATGCAGAATATTTATTTTATCGGGGTGCGATCTGTTCCCATGTCTTTGTTTAGCAGGCGAAAGGGAAACTAATGAGAGATCAGAGAGCCCCAAATGGGCCTTTGCTGTTTAGGAATGGCAGAGGTAGGCGCCTGGTGATTTCTAGGGAACGCGTACCTCTCCCATCCAGGGACCATTTTCTCCTAAAACTTTTAAGCGTTTGAGAAGCCTTTCCATTGGGGCCGGGGGGGCGGAGAGGCCTTTTTGCTGGACACACAGTTACTTTTCTACTTTTGAGGGCTGAAGCAATTGCTTGGTAGACACACTACCGAAATTCAGAAGCTTATTTAAACGCCGTAATTAATTTTATTTTCAACATGTCTTTTCTTTCTTCCCCCCCCCACCTCCCTCTCTCTGCCCATAGGAGAATGTTTCCTCCATTTAAAGTGAGATGCACTGGACTGGATAAAAAGGCCAAGTACATTTTATTGATGGATATTGTGGCGGCTGATGATTGTAGGTACAAATTCCATAATTCCCGGTGGATGGTAGCCGGCAAAGCTGACCCTGAAATGCCAAAGAGAATGTACATCCACCCGGACAGCCCGGCCACCGGCGAACAATGGATGTCCAAAGTCGTCACCTTTCACAAGCTGAAGCTCACTAACAACATCTCTGACAAGCACGGATTTGTGAGTGCCTTTTACACCTTCCTTTGCTCCCCCCTCTCCCACTTTCCCTCCCTCACCACCCGGCCGGAGCAGGGGGTCCCAGCGCGGGGGGGTTTCACCCGGAGCACGGCGACTGCTCGGCCGGGCCGTACCCACTGCCCCGCTGGCAGTTCCCGCGGGCTCCCGAAATGCGGGGAAAACAGGGAATAAATACCCCTCCACACACACGGGGACGAGCATCTTTCCGGTTTATGATAGTCCTTGATTTTTTCCCCCCTGCTGCGGTCAGGATTAAACGCTGGAGTTTACTCTGTAACCTCTCCGTGCCACTCAGCGTTAACTTTAGAGATATATTTCCAGCGTAGAGCAACTCGATATTTCTCGGAGCTGCGGTGACTTTATATATCTATATATATTTTTAATAAAGTCGATCACACTTTTTAAGCGTAGGAAAACGATATGCATATGTGTATAAAGGGCTTAAAGGCCTAAGTACGCAAACGTTTAAATCTATATTAATCTGGATAATGTAAAGCAAGCCGGAGTGAAAATAAACAGGGACCAAAAGCAGAGGTCAAGTTGGCCATTCATGTCTATCCACTCCTTTACATTTACCGGGTGTGCAGAGATAAAAACTTACCCTAAGAGTGAAATCAAACAAACCTGCTGATAAGTGCTCTGACGATCCTTGCCATTTCTTTCTGTTCCTGGGAAAGCCTCGGCCTCGGAGCCGGGGCTTGCTGGTGCTGGCCGCGGCCGGGGGATCTCTAATGTGCCGAAGATTGCATTTGCTGCCTGTGATTTGATTAGACGATACATTTTTGCCTTTCGCAGAAGGCCTTAAGTGAATTGGGGCACGCAATTAGACCGAGCCGAGGCTCTCATGGTGGTGTTGCTATTGTAGCTGCTGCTGCTTCTTTACTTGATTTTATTTCTGGTGGTTTTTTTTTTCCTTTTTTGTGTTTTTTTTTACACTTTGAAATCAAAAAACATTGCGGCCGGAGCCCAACACCTTCTCCCAAACATCTCTGACGGGATTTCCCCCCCCTTCCTCCTTCCCTCCGAGAGGTCCAGCGAGAGCCTAACTCCGGCGAGCTGGAGCTGTCAGTACTTTTAGTTGGATGCTGCAAGAGGTGTGCGTGTGTTTGGAGTGTGCTCGGCGGGGAGGAGGAGTGAGGGGAGGAAGGAGAGGGAAGGCAAATTAGGAGGAGAAAGTGCCGATGGCTGGGGGAAGTGCGAGGCGGGGGTGCTGCTCCTGCTGACCGTTTTCTTTCCCCCTCTCCTGCCCTCTCTGCTGCGGCCGCTTCCCCCCTCACTCCCCAGACCATTTTAAACTCCATGCACAAGTACCAGCCCCGGTTCCACATTGTCCGAGCCAACGATATCCTCAAGCTTCCCTACAGCACGTTCAGGACCTACGTTTTCCCGGAGACTGAATTCATCGCAGTGACCGCATACCAGAATGATAAGGTAAGGAGATTAAGAGAGGATTTGTTTTACGTGTTTTGGCTTTTAAGAGAACTTTTACTCTGCACTCTTCCCTTAAAAATCACGAAGCCCATCCCGTTCTTCTCTGTCTCCCCTCCTCATCTTTCCCTCCAAAACCTCCTTGATCCAGCTTCGCAAGGCGCCGGGGCAGGGGGTCGGGCACTCTCCTAATACCGACCTCGGGAAAGGCAATTAAAAGCGAGGACTGGGAGTGGGGTGGGGGGGAGCATGCTTAGGGTTCTTTTTACCATTTTCTTTTCCCGGTATCGCTCCCCGGTATGGGGAAAGGGATGGGGTGGGGATCGCTGCTCTCAGTGTGGATTTAATCTAAGACGCATCAGGGAAAAAAAAAATAAGAAAGACTCGGCTCCGTGTGTCGAAAGAGAGAAGGGGAGAGCAGCGGGGCTGAGATTTTGTAATTCTTCCTGGCCTTTGTGCTGTTTTAGCTCCTTTAACAGCAATTGGCAATAAGGCTGAAGCACACGTCTGGTTCCTATTATTACTATATTATGATATATTTTTTTTGCATCCTGCAGTGTTTTATTATTTTTTGTGGTGCAGAAATATGCTCTGATCAGAGAGGGGTATCTCGCTTGAATTTAGCTGGAAGGTCTGAATGAGCCCGGGTGAGAAAGTTTTGCAGCGCTGCAGACGCTGCCTTTCCATTTCTGCTGGTTTATTGTCACTTGCGACGAAGGTGGTATATTTGGGAGAGTGGCAAACGGCGAATTTACGATAATTAAGTCAAGTGGAAGGAAGCGAAGGAGCCAGAAAAGAGGCTTTGATTTTTGTTTTTGTTTTGTTTTTTTTTTCTTCTATAAATTATTACTTTGAGTTCGTGTGCTTTAAGTGTGGAAGGTCTGGATGTGCAGCGCCCGCTCGCTGCAGCTTCCTCGTGTCTCTCTTTCTGCCCCTCACACCCTTCACCAGTAAAAATCAAGGGCCGAAGAGGAGGGGTCTGCACCTTTCTGTCCTCGGTTTCTAAAAAGCCACTTGCCCCTCGGAGCTGGGGCTGTTTCCCTCTCTTTCTGCGGCCGGGCGCTTGCAAGGAAACCGAAAGAAAATGAGTGTACAGAGAGTAGACTTTGCTTTGGGACTTATCAGCAGGGCTGGTCGCCCCGGTCTATCAGCTGAGGCCAGCTTGGTTGAAGGACAGAAATGAGCATATTTGTCTGATTGCCATGAAATCGGCTGGAAAGCGGCGTGCGGGAGCGGCGGGGAGCCCTGGGCTGGGCGCGGGGGGAGCAGAAAGCACGGTCGGGAGCACCTGGATTAAAAGTCCCGCTGGTTTTTAGCAGTGGGTTTTTCCTGCTCTTTCCTCATCCCGTGTGTGCGGCGAGGGGGCGGCTCGGGAGCCGGGGCTGGTCCTGCCCGCACTCGGACGCAGGCGGGGTTTCCTTTTCGTGGTCCTCCTCTACTCCTAAACTGAGGGTTCCTGCGCTTCCAGTCCGGTCCAAGACCGGGAATGGAGCGGCGGGGAGGCGGAATCTCCGTTCCCATCGCCCGCATCCCGTTACAGCGACGGGAGCCCCCGGCCAGGCTCTGAATCCGCCTCCGCGCATCGCATGGGCGGAGGGACTTACGGGATGCCCCGCAAGCCCCATCGCTCCAAGCAGCCGTTCCCTGCCATAACCCGAATCCCGAGGAAACTCAAACCAGAAAACTTCCACCCACCCCCCAAAAAATACGAACTGGTTCCTGGCACCCCCGGCGCCCCAACACACACACACACGCAGAGCATAATGCGATTATATAAAGTATTTTATTATAGCGAGGGGGTGGGTATGATTCCTTTGCGGTTTAATTATGGCATTTAAAGAGTTTTAAGCACAGGCATAACTTGGATGGATCGCATTGCACGGCTCAATTAATTCCGATGTGGTGGCAGCAACACGGGGCTCTTTCATTGCCACCACAGCCCGGGTCACTGGCCAGCCCGGCGGGGGATTGGGGGCAAACTGCCTCCAAATGACCCGGGAAAACGTGGAGATCCCCCCAAAACGGGGACCTTTGCCCCCTGCCCTGTCCTGCTCCCGGCGGGATCCTGCCAGCACTAGGGGAACTGGGAAGAGGGAGTTTTGCTGTTGTTTTTTAACGTAAAAATGCCCTTATTCTGCCCTCTGCCTATTTTTTTTTTCTCTCCATCCTCTAGATCACTCAATTAAAAATTGACAACAACCCCTTTGCCAAAGGTTTTCGGGACACCGGGAATGGAAGGAGGGAGAAAAGGTGAGTCTGGCTCGATTATATACAGGCACCTCGTTTGGTTTTCATGTGTAAAGCTCAGAACACGAGCAGAGGTCAAAATCACCTCGACTTGCCTCCAAACCACACTTCAACCCGCCAAAATCCATAAGGATCTTGGCGCTAATAACACCAAATGGATTGCATGGGAATTCTTTCCTGCTTTCCACATTTATTTTTCACATTGCAGGGGATGACTGGCCAAAGGGAATGCAGTACATTAAGCAAATATCTCAGGAAAAAGAAGTTTCCCTTAAAAATCTGTGAGGGAATGTTCCAGTGTAGTTTGACTCTGGGACTGGAGAAGAGGGAGAAGTGAGGGCTGAGCGCTGGTTGAATCTCCTCTGACATTTTTCAGAGGATAGTATCGAAAAGACTAAAATGTGGAGGAGGAACATATAAATAAACTGCTCTGACAGAGGTATCCCGTTAATATGGAAGTAATAATGACAGAAAATTCTTTATTTTTTCCAAAAGCAGCAGGACAGAATTTGTGCCCCAGGTAGATGGACAGAACTCGTTATAATGGGACTGAAGATTTTTATTTTTAATATCAGAAGAAAATACAAGGAGAAAATAGAGAAAAGGACTTTTTTTTTTTCCTTTGATGAGGGATATGTCTGTTTTGTTTTGTTACAGCAGACAGGATATTTTAGCCATTTGCACTGGGGCTTAGATAACGAACAAATCTGTTCCTCTTTTTTTTTTTTTTTTAAAAAAAAAAAGAAAAGAACGGGGGATGGATGTGATGTAAAACAAGAGGCCTTTCTCCCTGCCCAGCACTGAGCCCAGCACACACACACAGACATGCACACGCCAGCTCCTCTTGTCCGTCAGTGTGAAAATAAAGCCAACGCTGGAGCCACAGGACGGAAATGATTTCTAATTTCTTTCTAAATATAAATAGATTTTTACTCCGGGTTAATTGTTGGTGAAAAGATTACATAAAGTGCCTAACAAAATAACCACTTCCTAGCAATCTTAGCAACCATTAAGATGGCTCATATCTCTGGAACATCCTCGCCTTTTAAAAGCTAATCTCCAGGGAATGCTTCCCTCTCCCCTCCGCCCCTTGTCTTTAATATCTGCCCTCACCGCTTCCAAGAAATCTCCTCTCATTAGCAGCCAAGCCCTGCCTGCCAGAAACGAGCTCTGCTCCTCGAGGGGACCATGGCTCTTAATTCCCCTGTCCCACTCATCCCCAAATAGGAGCTCAAGAAGGGGTGGGGGAGGAGGGGGGTGCCGGGGTGCACTCTGCCAGCGGGTTCGTGTGCCCGTAGGAAGCAGCTGACCCTGCAGTCCATGCGGGTGTATGACGAGAGGCAGAAGAAGGAGAATCCCACCTCGGACGAGTCCTCCAACGAGCAGACGGCCTTCAAGTGCTTTGCCCAGTCCTCCTGTCCTGCCGTGCCTGCCGTTGGCACCTCCAGCCTCAAAGGTGAGAGCTGTGGCCCCTGGACCCCACCCAGGAGAGCCTGCTCTGTGGGTTGACACATCCCAGCTTCTACCACTGCCCTCTGGCACCGGCCTGTCTTCCTTCCTTCCCACTTGCTTCCTCTTCTTTTCTTGTCTTTTTCTCTCTTTGTACTCTTCTGTCTCTTCCCTCTCTTTATCTCTTTAGTTTGTTGCTTCCTCTCTTCTTTCCCTTACTCTCCTTCTTGCTTTCATTCTCTTTCCCTCTCCTTTGTCGTCTTCCCTCATTCCTTCTCTGTCTTCCTCACTCTCCTTCTCCCTCTCCCCCCAGCCTCTCTCTCCCCTTGCTGCACATTCATCCCTCCCCTCCTCGGTTCAGAAAGGAGCCAGCTCCGAGTCAAGGGAGCAAAGACAGACCACGGGGCAAAAGTTCAAAACTGGAGTCACTCCATTAATATTCCTTTCTGAATCTGTTATTAGAGGAAGGATCTTTCCCCTGGATACAGTCCCGAACTTTGTTATAGAAAAGTCACCCTGGGTTTCTCTCCGTGCAGGGTTGGGAGCTGTCTGCAGCTCTCTCACATGTATTAATCCATCCAGGGGCGGGAGGGGGTGCAGGGGAGGAGGAAACAACCTCTTTTTTGTAGTTGCTCTACTCGTTTTTTTAAAGGGCTGCCGAGCTGAGGGGAGGGGAGCTGGGAGGGGACCCAAAAAGCAAACCAGAGCTTCGCACCTGGGGCGCTGAAATTAGGAGATGAAGTGCAGAGGAATCCACTGGAGCCGTGCAAGCGTTTGGGGAGAAGGAGAAAGGGGGGTCCAAGGGGTGAGGAAGGCGAGTGGGAGGTCGGTTTCTCTCTGCGTTTTCTAAGTTTGCCCACTGAAAGGGATGAAAACTTCGTAGGAGGCGCATCCCTAAGGCCCTTCAGCCCAGCCGCTGTTGTCCCACCGCTGGTGGGGGGTCCCTGGTGAGGGTCCCTGGGGGCTCCGGGCAGCCCGGGGAGCAGATCCGCTGGCCCTGGGCCCACCCGACTGGAGGGTCGCTCCTCCGGGCCGTTGCTTTGTTTCGCAGCCAATTTTGCTGCGTTGTGTACAACTCGGGCTGGCTCGTCCTGGCGGGAGGTGGGAGCCGGGGGCTGTATTTATTTATATGTTTTTTAAAAAGTATTTCCATACAAACCTCTGGCCGGCCAGGAAGCGTCTCTACCCTCTCTGGCAGCCCAATGGGGATTTCGGGATGTGCAGTGCCGGATCCCAGCCCCGGGCCCCCTTTGTCTTGCAGATCTCTGCCCCAGCGAGGGAGACAGCGATGCAGACAGCAAAGACGATCCCTTGCTAGAAGGCAACGAGTCGGGCAAAATCAGCACGACCACCGCCGGCACCCCAGCGCCGGCCAGCTCCGCTGCCACCGCGGGGGAAGACCCCCGGGAGAAGGGCGGCAGCCCCTCCAAAAGCCACTTCTTCCCCGGGGACTCGGCGGGGAGTAGGAGCCGAGAGAGGACTGAAAAAGCCCCTCCGGACTCCAGGCACAGCCCGGCTGCGATCTCTTCCAGCACCCGGGGTGGAAGCCTGAGCGGCGAGGAACTGAAAAGCCCCCTCAGGGATGGCCCCAAAGTAGATGAGAACCGGCTGCTGGGGAAAGAGCCCTTCGCCCCCCTGACGGTCCAGACCGATAGCACGGCCCACCTGAGCCAGGGACACTTGCAGAACCTCGGCTTCCCCCCTGCCCTGGCCGGACAGCAGTTCTTCAACCCGCTAGGGAACGGGCACCCGCTGCTGCTGCACCCCGGGCAGTTCGCCATGGGGGGGGCTTTCTCCGGCATGGCCGCGGGGATGGGGCCCCTCCTCGCCACCGTCTCCGGGGCATCCGCCGGGGTCTCGGGACTGGACAACACGGTCATGGCCACGGCGGCGGCCCAGGGACTCTCGGGAGCATCGGCGGCTGCTTTGCCTTTCCATCTGCAGCAGCACGTCCTGGCTTCGCAGGTACCGCAGCCTCCCCCCGCCGCCCCCCGGAGCAGGAGGGTTTCAATGCCGGGGGAATAGAGGGACAGCGGGCACCTCCTCTAACTCCCCCGCTGCGGTGTCCCCTCCACTACCTCTCTCTGCAGGGGCAGTCACAGGGTTTGGCGGAAAGTCGGAGGAGGGAAAGTCGGGAGGGGGTGGAGGGTAGCCCAGATCGATTTCCCGGAGCTCTCCCACTCTCCCCGCTGTCGTGCCACTCCTGTGCTCCCTCTGACACGGTGCCGGGGCCAGGCCTCTGCAGCCGGGGGTGAAGCTCTGCGGCGTGGGGCTCGTTGGAGCCTGCGGAGCGGAGCCACCGTCGGGGGAGCTGCCCTGCGGGACGCGGGGGGGGGCTACACCTGCGGGCACAGGGCACTTGCCCCAGAGAAAGAGAATCTCGCAGTGAGGAGGATAAATACCACGGCCCCCGCTGGGCCACGACCCTCGCAGCGGGAGGGAGGCGGGCGGGGTGGGCGCCGTGCAGGGCAGATCATGGCCAGGGTCTGCCCCGTTGGGTCCTCGTGGTTTTGGCCTCGGCACTGGGAGGATGGGTCTCCATCCCCTCCCGCGGGCAGCAGCAGCTTGGCCGCTGTCAGCTCCCCACTGACGTGGGGGTGCCGCGAAGCATCTCCGGGAGTGGGTGTGCAGGCCGGTAACCCTTTCCCTTCTCTCTCTTCCCCTCCCGCAGGGCCTGGCCATGTCTCCCTTCGGAAGCCTCTTCCCCTACCCCTACACCTACATGGCGGCGGCGGCCGCCGCCTCCAGCGCCGCCTCCAGTTCGGTGCACCGGCACCCCTTCCTGAGCGCCGTGCGGCCGCGGCTCCGCTACAGCCCCTACCCGCTGCCCGTGCCCCTCTCCGACGGCAGCAGCCTCCTCACCACTGCCCTGCCCGGCCTGGCCGCCGGCTCGGGCGAGGGCAAGGCGGGGGGGCTGAGCGCCAGCCCCGGCTCCGTGCCCCTGGACTCCGCCTCGGACCTCACCAGCCGCTCCTCCACCCTCTCCTCCGGCTCCGTCTCCCTCTCCCCCAAACTGGGCGCAGACAAGGAGGCGGCCACCAGCGAACTGCAAAACATCCAGCGCCTCGTCAGTGGGCTCGACCCCAAGCAGGACAGATCCCGCAGCGGCTCCCCGTAACCCCCCCGGCCCCCGGGAGCTCATTTCAAATCAGTCTCGCAGTGCACTTTGTTTGAAAGAAACCACATCCTCCACCCCGCGAGTGTTTGTTGTTTTGGGTTTTTTTTTTTACCCCCTCCTTATTTTGTTGGGTTTTTTAAAATTTCTCTCTCTTTTTTTTTTTTTTTTTTTTTTTTTTTTAATGTAAAATCCCGCGGTTTATTGACAGAAAGGTATCTGGTGGAGCAGAGGGGAAGAAGGGTCGGGGATGGGGGAGCAGAGCCAAGCTGGGAGTGCTGGATCGGAGCCGAGGCACCGGTGGGGTTTGTGGCATCCTTTCTTTTTTTTTTTTTTTTTTTTTTTTTTAACTGTGTAGAAAGAAAAACCAAAACACCCATGAAAAAAAAAAAAGGAAAGAAAGGAAAAAAATACCTAAAAGAAAAAAAAAAAACACACAAAAAAAATCAAACATTAATAAAAATTGAGAAGTGATTTTTTTTTTCTTTCCGAAAGAAAAGTGTGTAAGTAACTCGCATATTGGTTCTTCAACAGTTGTTTCTTGGGCGGGTTGTTAACGACAACCCCCTTAGTCGATATTAAGGGAAGCTGTGTGTTTAAAATATTATTGTGATGTTTGAGAGCCAGTTGGTGGCTTTTTTTTTTTTTTTGTGCATGTTCCATAGTAGTCTGCTTTTCTTTTGGGGGGCGGGGGGAGTATTTTTTTATTTCTGTGGGGTTTTGTTGTTTATTTTCAATGCTCGTTTCAAATCCCAGGGAAAAAATTATTAAAGTAATAAAAACAAAAATAAGACTTTCGTCCCTCTACCTTAAACATCCTCCCTGTAGCAAAAAAAAAAAAAGAAGTGTAGTTGGAAAGAAAAAAAAAAGTGAATTTATTTTATCTAAAATTCTCTGTAGCTTGACTGTAGGTTTATCACAGCTTTCCCTCTTTAATTGTATATGCAATAACAAGGTTTAAACATACTGAGAAGAAGAAAAGAACGGACACTATTATTAAAACAAAGTATTTATGTAATTATTTGATAACTCTTGTAAATACGTGGAATATGAATACTCGAAATTAAACTTTAATTTATTGACATTGTACATATCTCTGTAAATATGACTGCAGCTGTCTTCTTTTTTTTTTTTCTTTCTGTTTTTATTTTTAGTCGTTTTCATTTCAAGTTTGTAATTCCTTTAAACATACACCCCGACCCAGAGGAGAAATCCCCCCATTTCTGAGGGCTCACTTTTTAAATCGGAGCTCAGCCCAGAAAAACCTGACCTGGTCCTTTTGTGAAGGAGCCGAATGCAAAAAAAAAAAAAAAAGCAACCAAAAAAACCCAAACCACAAACAACAAAGCAGAAAGAAACCAGATTAATCGAAGACCTTAAAAAAAATTAAAAGAGGTAAAAGAAAAAGCAGCGTGCCATGGTAGCTTTTAATCCTCAGTTTCTTCAGTGTTCAAAGCACTACTTGTCGTATAAAATGTCAACAAGAAGATAATAATACACATTAAAACGCGACAACAGGCTTCTCCAGTGGCTTGAGAGAAAAGCAAACAAACAAAAAAGGTGAAGATTCTAGGATTTATCTTTACTTTGTTATTATTTCTCCCTCTTTCCTCGGTATGTCAGAAAACAACCCTGCGATGGAGTTTTACTACTGTGCTTATTGTTGTCTTTGTTTGAGTGAGTGCATATTTTCTTGGGTTGAAAGTCAGGTGCTCGGAGCTGGTTCAAAGAAAAAAAAATGAAGGTATATTTTGTGTTATATAAATGTTGAGAAGTTCTTGCTATTTTTTTTTCTGTAATTTTTTTTTTCCCTTTTAAAAGTCACTGAAGTTTCAATAAATTTTTATTGAAATGTCTTGGTCGTACTGTGAAATGCCTTCACCCCAACCCTCCCCAAAGTGCCTGGGAGGACGGAGGGGTTGAAAGATATGTATCCCTCCCCTCTTCTGCAGTTCTCCTCCACCCCCCACCTTCCCCTTCCCAATATTAAGATATTTCTCCTGGAAGGAGCTAGTACGAACCAGTCGGGATGGTGTCGTTGGAATTGTTGCGGGGGAAGGGGGGGGAAGGACGAGTTTTAAGCAAGCTGTTTAATGTACCTTTTCCGTCTTTATCCCTCTCTCTTTTAAAGTCGATCCAGAGGCTACTAAAGTCACCTCTTTTAATGGAGCAATATTAAGTGGCGTTTGAAAAGTTAATGAGAAAGGCTCAGCTATGCTTTTATCTGTCATAAATTAATAACGCAAAAGTGAAGAATTAGAGAATAGATCAGTTAAATTTTAATGCAGAGCCCTCCTTCAAAGTTTCCAGGTAAAGTGCTCAGGAGTTGATGGTGTTGCTGGGCTCGTTTTCTCTCCTGTCCGAGCGGAGGATTTGGCTTTTCCATTAGATATCACCTGGAAATACATTATTTTTTTCTTTAAATTTATTCCCTCCCCCCTCTACTTGAATCGCCTCTTCTCGCCCTTAGGCTCATGATATATTGAGATTAAGCCAGAAAATGGCTGAAACGGGGACAGACATCCAGGCTTCGGGCTGGACCAGTGGCCTGGGAGGTCACTGAGAGGAGAACTAAGGAGAACTGGCAGCCACTGCCTGTACCTTTGCCAGTCCATGAGCACATCATTTAGCAGAACATATATATTTCTTGTTAATGATATTTTTTTTTCCCCCCCATCCCTTCAACAGTTAGTGGCCCGTATATTGGAAAGTGATTCATCCTCCGCCAGTAATAAATATTATAAGGATGTACTTCCAGCCTGTATCCTGTTTTATGCTCTGCCTGCCCCTCGGCCCGCGGCCCCCGGCTCCTGCGCCGGCGAGATAAAGGGAGGAGAAAGTGGCGATAAAGCTTTTTTTCCCCCCGATTTTTTAATTAAAAAATCCCCCCGCGACCATCACACTGTTCAGGTCCCCCTTGGTGGGGCAACGGGACCCTTCCCATTTCAACTTGGGGGTCGGGGTGTATTTTAAATCCACGCTGCTTGCGGTTTGGGCTGCGCAGGATTTTTTTTCTCTCCCTCTTTCCCCACCCTGGGATGGCCCAAGGTGATGGCTGCTGGAAATGTCACTTGAGCTGATGCTCCCCTCAGCCGGCCCGGGAGAGGGGGGGCTTTTAGGGATAGAGGTGGCGTCGGGTCTGGCAAAAGAAACGAAAAAAGTCCACGCGAAGAAGGAGGCAGCGGCTGCAGCAGCCAGCCCCGAAGGCTGCAGCCCCAAAGGCCCGTTTCCACACACGGATCCTCCACACGGGTGGGAGCTGGAGCCGCTCTGGGAGGGGGAATCCGGCCCGGGGTGAGCAGAGCTCTGCCAGCCCCTCCGGGAGGCTCAACCATCCCTGCTCCGGCGCTCAACTCTCTCCTCCGCTCTGAGCCCCGGCCTCAGCGGCAGCGCGGAGACACCTTTACAAGACAGACCCCCGCAGCCCCTTCACTCCCGTCTATTTGGCTTCAGGAATGACGGGGGGAACCTTTATTTTTTCCCTCGCCGCAGCTGCTGATCACCCAAATCGCTCTTAGAGGGGGAGGACTGTTAAGGTCTGTGTGTGGAGGGGAAAAATGTCCTAGTTGGCGGCTAAAGTTGCTGTTGATATTCAGAGGAAAGCAACACACACTCATACACACCCCCTCCCTCCTCGTCTCGCTTTCCTGCCTGCCCAGGAGCCCGGTAGCCGCTCCACAGGCCAGGCGGGCACCGGCAGCCCCGGGGCGCCGCAAAACCCGAGCTCACGGTTTATCCTTTGCAAGGCTGAGGGTGCAGCGTGATTGATTTAAACGCCCCTCTTTCCACGGGCCTAACGCTGACCTCCCCCTCTGCCGTGCCCTTGCAAGAAATCCGTGTACCGCAGGTGTAACTCTGACTTGCAAATGGCTTTATCTCTTGTGTATCTTATTTGTATATAGTAACGTTAATGAGTAACTCTTGTGGCGCTTGTGGATGGAGGTAAACAGCGAGCAATCTCTCTGGATTATCCTGTCTATTACTCACCTGGCGCCTGTCTTGATATCCTCAATGGTTTTATGGCTGATGCAGGCGACCCGGCGCTGGGTGGGGGGTGGCCGGCGGCGGGGGGGGCTCCGGCGGGGCGCCGGCGCCATCTCTCGGGCAGCCTGAGCAGCGCCGAGAGACCCCCGGAGGGACCCACGGCCCGTGGGAGGGGGGCACAGCACCCACCGAGGTGGGGGGGAGCTCGGGGGGTGGTGGGGAGCGACAACATCGCGACCCCCCCCCCCATCCCACCCCGACCCCCGGCCGGGCGGCGCGGCAGAGCTCCCCGCAGGCTTCCCTTGGAGCTGAGATGGGTTTTACCCACGGGAGTTTTTAGCCCCGAGTCCAAAGTCTCTGGGAAAGCGGTGCTCGGGCCCCACCGTCGGGATGTTGGGGGTAAAGGACGACACACGTCCCGGAGCCGCAGCGACCCGCGGTGGGGGGCACAGCGACAGCGACACCCCGTCGGGGCGGGCACCCGCCGTCGCCAGAGCACTCGGCCCACGCTCCGCTATTAGTTAATTATTGATTGATTACAAGTGAAAATTTATGACCCTCTTCCCCCCCACACCCCCCGCAGCCTCCCGGCCCCTCGCACGCACACACGCTCCTGCCCTCTGCAAACACTCCGGGGGAGGCGGGAGGCGTGTTGTTGTTTTTGGCCTTGACAGCTTCCAGGAATATGAAATATTTAAGCCCTTCGGTCGATCTCCCGTACCCTGGACGCCCTTTTTTTTTTTTTTTTTTCTTTTTTTTTTTTCTCATTCCCCCCTTTCATGTCCCGGCTCGGAGGGGTCCCGCGGCCGCCGGGCCCCCTCTCCGCACACAGCCGGCGTGCGGGCTCGGAGCACGCCAGGCCTCGCAGATCAAAGGGACCTCTCCGGCCTCCGCACAAGGGAGAGGGAAGGGGGAAAAAAAAAAAAAAGGTTGATTTCTTTAACGATTGTTCGTAAAAAGTCTTGGAAGCGGGGACCATCCCGTCTCCTCCTTCGCCTCGGGCTGCAGGATTGCACCGGGAAACGATTTTGGAAAGGTAGAAAGAGGGCTTGGGAGAAAGGAGAAAAAAAAAAAGTTTTAAAAAAATTTTAAAAATATAGAGGAGTTGCTTGAAATTTAGCAGCCGTGTGTCTGCAGGAACGCACACGCCGTCCCGGGTGGGAGCTCGAGTGGCAGCCCTGGGTGGGCAGCGGGGTGTGGGCGGCGCTCAGACGTGTGCCCCCCAAAATGGGGCGAACCCCAAGCCCCTCAGTGTGTCCGTGTGTGCGCGGGGGGCGGAGGGAGGGCGAGCCCCACAAGTTTCTGCAGGTCCTGCTGCGGGGGGGGATCCAGGGTAGGGGGTCCTGCACCTTGGTGACCGCAGCGCTCTACCCTGTCCGGGTCTGAGAGACGGACAGGCGGAGGGATGGACGGACGGACGGGTCGGTTGTTTGTTGTCTCGGGAGGGTAAACGGTCTGATGTGGCGATTGCCTCGGGGCGCTGGCGCTTGGCACGGCGGAGGCGAGCAGCCGTGGCACCCTGTGGAGACCGCCCTGCTGCCCCCCCTGTCCCTGTCACCCCGGTCCCTGTCACCACGGCCCGGAGGGGCAGCCGGCCGGGCGGATCCGTGCTGGAGGCGCCGGGACGGCGGGGTTGGGATCAGTTTATGGGGGAAGCGGACCGGGAAAAACCTCCCTCCTTCAGCACCCTACAGCCGCTCCTTGCAGGGAAACTCCCGTCCACGGGGGCACCCCCCGAGCCTTCATCCTCTTACACACAGTACAGGCACATTCCGGGACATTCCAGCCCCAGCATCACATTATCCCCCTGACCCGCCGACCTCTCCCGCAGCTGGCCCCGCATCCATCTCCCTCTGCACCTGAAGCCTTTTGGCTGCTTGTGGGGAGCAAAAGCCAGCGGCTCCCAGGGAACCAGCTCCGCAGGGCGATGCCTGGGGATGGTTTAGGGGTTTTGTTGTTGTTGTTGTTTGGTGGTGTTTTTTTCCCAGTCAGCCCCAAACTTCCCACGTGCTTCTCCCCAAAGCCCGCATTATTAGGGAATAATTAAGGCGTGTAAAAACACGGCGAGGCGAAGCCCTTTAGCTTGAAGTGGCCGTTCAAGGCGCTGGTGGAGCTCCTGGCCTCAGTTTCTCGCCCCGAGGCGAACAGGGTGAGCTGAACCGAGGTCGGGCTGAGACTCCGGGGTTTCTGCGGGACTCTGGACCTGCGCTTTCCTCATCTGCTACCGTTCCTTGGAAACACAACTCGCAGCCGCCTCGCAGACACCACCTTTGGGTTTTCTCTTTTCTAATCCACCTTTTTTTTCTTTTTTTTTTTTTTTTTTTTTTTTTTTTAATTATTTGATTATTCTGGAGTAAACATGTAATCATTATTTTTAAACACTCTCAGCCGAAACAGTGTTCGACCTCTAGCGCAGGTAATCGCGGCCATAATTCCTGCTGAATTTCACCTTGGTCTCGCTAAACTCAGCTTCCCTCTCATTCTCCCCAGTTAAGACCTTCCTAGACATGGCATTGGAAAAAAAGCCCAAACCAACACCAAGCGGGCTGGGCTGTGTGAAGCCGACTCGACGCCACGGACATCCCGGCTCCCTCCCCTCCCGAAGGCAGCCCCCCTCTGTCTCCGGCTTCTCTCCTTTCCGAGGTCCTTTCAAGCTTTATTTCATTTCAAGCCGCCAAAGCGGCACTGACAGAATAAAGTTATCAAGGAAATAAGCTCGACAGAAAAAGCCAGTGGTGCTTTTCCCCCCCGGACCTGCTCCTTGCAGTGGAGGTACGAGCGGAGCGGCTCCGGGGAAGGGGGGAACTGGCCGAGGATGGGGAGGGGAGTCCGGCTTGGGGCATCCCATCGGCTGGACTGACGGGTGGGTTTTCTTGGGGCAGGAGGAGGAGGCGGCAGGAGGGAGTTGGAGGGATTTGCTCCAAGCTTTTGTGCCAGACGGGGAGGCTTTTATCTTGTCCCTCTGAAGGAAAGGGGATCCCTGCCACCGCGCTGCCGGATCACGCTCCTTCGGGAATGTGCCACCGTGATCTTCTGGCAGGATTATTTCCCTTTTGCCTCGAAACATTTCCTACGTGCTCTCGCATTTATTTTTCACAGGTTTCTTGAAAATATTTTTTTTTTCCAGATTTTCCTTGCTGTCGATCCGTGGCCTTCCCCGCGGATTTTCGAAGAGCGCTTTTAAAATCCTCCGTTCTCCTGAGTCCTTTTTTCAGCGGGTTTTCATTTCTCCCGTCTCCGATCTAAAAAGCAAGCAGAAAAAAATCTCGAACCTTAAATACAAATACAAACCAGGTCAGGAGGCCCCCCCGCTCCGCTTGCTGGAGGGGGTGGGGGTAGGGGCTACCCCTAGGAAAAGTGAAAAGCTTGTTTTAATGGGCGGTCATTGCTAAATCTCACCTTAGGGCCAAAACGACTCGCGACCCATTGCCCTCCTTACGATGTATTTATTTGTCTCAGTGGCACCAGCCGTCAGTCATTAGTGGGGGGGTTAACCCCGAGAGCCGCCCCACGGTGGTGGCGGTGGTCTTGTGGCTTTTTGGTTTGTTTTAAATACGATTTCTCAGCAGGAACCTCTCCAGAAGAGGAGGAATAACCTGTCCCTAGAGGGCTGCTCGGTGGAACACGGGGGGAACACGCGTGGAAGCGCAGCGAGCGACGACCCCTCCGAAAACACTTTGGTCTGAGCAAGCGGGATTCGGTTTGCACCCCGAAGGGTTCGCTCTCAGGAAAAGCGGCGCTTGGGCCGGCAGAGATGTTATTTAATGAATAACGACGCTTTCCAGTATTAACAATAACGGAGGCGAAAACAAATGCAGAAGCCCGAGTGCCGGAGGAGCCAGCGGAGCCCGCGGGCAGCCGAGCGAGCAGTCGCCGTCCCCGGGACCCCGAGTGCAGCCGGGCAGCAGCTCCGGACCCCCGCACGGCCGCGGCTGTGCTCGCATGCACGCAGGTCTGTGGTTACAGTCACTCCACGAGCTCCAGAGCCGCTCCGTAGCTGTATATCCTTTTATTTAGATACAGCTTTCTCTTCACGTAAAGTGTATGAAGTGCTAAGAACCTTTATATAGATTTCAAATATTTATGTAGTTCAGATACGCGTGTGTGCGTGTCTGTCGTTATATAAAGACGGTGCAAAGAGATGCGGCTGTGAGCGCATTATTTCAATCCGCACAAGACGTGTGTGCTGTGGGACACCGGGCACGGTGCGTCCCCGTCCCTCTGCCCGCACGCATCCCCTCCGGCCCCCGGCTCTCCCAGGCTCTGTCCCGCCTGGCCGAGTGCATCCCGGCTGGGACCAGGGGTAGATTTTGGATCTGTGGCTCGGTTAGCTTTGTAATATTTTCATTATCGCATATTCCAGGTAAATTCACCTCCACAAACAGCATTTCGCCGAGCAGTCCCGGGCTCTCCCGCCAGCGCCGGGGCAGCTTTGGGGGTCCCTGACCATCGCCCTTCCAGGAGGGGGAAGCATGTAGGAGCCTTCCTAGGACTTGTGTTCACACCTCTTTCACAGCTGGCTCTGGTTTGTTCCCTCTGCCAAATATGTAACCAGCGGTGGAGAAGAGAGATAAACCATGAATTTCATCCTCCTTTTCCCCCCAACTCGACATCCCGCGGCTCTAAACTTCTGCTGTCAAGAGGATGGACCGACGGTGCGGGAGTGCTTGGTCTGGCTGGCACCGGGCAGGGAGGGAGGGATGGATGTACGGACGGATGGATGGACAAATTGAGAGTGGGGGTGGGTGGTGTCGTGTGTGGCCTCCATTCTCGTTCCACGGCTCATGCTGTCCTGAAACAGGGAAATAATGAAATTAGGGACTCATGAAATCACGGCAGCAGGCAGGACATGGATGCCCGGTGCCAGCAGCCCCCACGTTTAGAAGGAGAGGAGGGTGCCTTGTTGCTGGGGGTATCCCCCGCGGACGGGGCTGCTGAAGCCGGGGCCGCTCCCGGGGCCGTGCCGGTGCCAGGGTTGTTCCCGGGGCCGGGACCGCTCTCTCCCGGGGCCCGGTGTCGCCGTCAGCCGCTCCTGGAGTGCCACCTGGTGGGAGCAGCCCGGCAGCACGGGCAGGACTCGGCTCCAAGGGTCCCCGCAGCCCCCCGGGAATCTTGCCCCCAAGGCTGACAGGGGGAGAGGGTCAGCGGCAAGGGGGGTGTGTGTGGGGTGCCTGGGCATGAGGGATGCAGAGGATGCCAGTAGCAGCATCCAAAATGAAAAGACACGAATTGAAAGTGTTTGTTTTTCAGAGTCAGAAAAAGAAGAATCTCCTGGAAAACCCTGCGAGCCCCTCTCCTTCTGCTCACCTGTAAGGCTGAGAGCATCTGTGCGAGGCTGCCATCAGCACCCCCAGGATGGCTCCTGGGGATTTCCACGCACTCCCCAGAGAACCCTAGTGCTGGGCATTCATAGGGAAGCAGCACTGGGCCTGGCATTTTTGTAGGAAACCTCCCAGAGTTTTACAGGGGTGTGTGTGTAGCTGTGCTCTGAGACCAGACGGGCCCTTAAAATGAGCTGTCACCCTCCTGGCTGCACCTGAGGGCTGGTTTGTGTGGCACAAGGCCCCCTGGCTTTGTCTCCTTGGGTTTTTGTTGCCTTCCCTCACATATCTACACACACAGCTATTTTGCTTCCGTGTTTTTGTCCCTACTCACGTGTCAAGCTCACTGCTCGCTCACTCACTCACAGATCCAAATGTGGGCAAGCACAATAATCTGTTTACATCTTGTTTTGGAGTTTTATTCATGCTCCTCCAATTTGTCTTACACTTCCACACAACACAACTATCCTTCATAAGCAGTTTGTTATAACCTTGTTATAGTTCTGCTCTCTGTCTCTTGCCTCATTACAAAACAATTCTGCATCAGAAAACTGCCATTTCACATGAAACACTTCTCTCTGGGCCAGAGATTGACTTGCTCTGGTGAAACAGAGGGGCACTAAAATGTGAGAACAAGGATGTAAAAGCAGGAAGACATGCATCAAACTTCAGGGGAAACAATGGGAACGATACTGATTGCCTTTTAATGTGCAGTGATCACACAATGGGGAAGAAAGCCTTCCCAGAAAAAAAAATAAAATAAGACACTCACCCCACTTTAGAAGCTGGGAGCAGAAAAGTGTAACTTTGGGGCTAACTCAGAGGGGACCTTATCCCATGGCTTCTGTAGGGAAGTGGCTTTCCAGATCTAGCAGAGCTTCCAAATGAAGTGCTGTCCTACTTTCTGGCTGTCTCTACAGGGTGATGAGAAATGCCCATTGTCTCTGCCCAGGCTGGTGCGTGCTCTCATTAAGGCCTTTGAATTGTGTGTGTGCATGTCGGCGTCAGAGCTGTTTGGCAGGGAGGGGCGGGCAGGGTTTCTGTGGAAGGTAATTCCCTGGTCCCAGTGGTCTCAGAGGTTTTGAATGATTTTTAAACTCTTGGAGCCTCAGTGCCTCCAGGAGTGGTGGGTAGGCAAGATGGTGGCGGGTGGGATGGTGGTCCTGTGGCTGCATCACAAATGTTTAATGAAGCTGTGCGAACAGAGCTCTGGGGGAATCCGCAACTGCAAGGGCAGAGCCTTCCCTGGGAGTAGCAGCACTGATTTGAGGTGTGTCAAAGTAACCCCACTTTGCTCCTTGGGTGTTGGGTTCTGATCTGAATTGACAGGGGTTAGGCAATTCAGAAAACAGCCATCCCTGCCTTCCCCTAATGACATCTCAAGTCCAAATCACTTCATTTTCAGGGAGGATGGTGTAACACACAAGAAAAAGTGTCAGGAAACATGAAGGCACAGCTGTTCTTTCCACTTGGGTAGCTGCAATCGGTTTGAATAATGGATATTTTGTTCAGCTCCTTTGATGGGAACTTTGAGTCTCCAGCTCCTCACTAAGAGGAGACACGCTGATTTATCATTTATTTATTGGATTATAACCCTGTTTTACGGGTAATCAATTGCTGCTTTTTCAGCTTCCTCTTAAATCACATCACCCTGGTGCAATCAGGGGGTGAGACCACTCCAAGTGCACAGAGGTTTCCCTTCGAAAAATACTTCCATTAGATTTTTAGGTGTTAATGTGGGCAACTGATGGAGGAAACAACAGGCAGGGTCTGATTTGTCCCTGTACTCTGGTGTTGGGCGAGGACCCTCGTGGGGGACGGGAGGATGTGTGATGGAAGGTGACATTTTTGAACCTGCTTTGTGGCTTGGGGACCTCGGTGCTTTCCCCAGCTCTCCTTTGAACACTGTGCACATGGGGCTCGCTCTGCTCTCTTGCACTGAAATGTGCTGTGACAGAAATAACACCCATTTGGGGGCTAAACCCTATTTCTCATAGAAAAATAGAAGGGGACACGCACTCTGAAATGTCAGACAGCAGGAGCTGTGAAGGCTGCCCTTTACTCCTGGGGTATCACTTGAACACCCCTCCAGATATCTCCCTGCCTTTGAGCGGGACCTGACATGTCTCCAGTTGTGTGTCCACACAAAATTTAGTCTCAGGGCCTTGCACAGCAGCGTGGACAGCTCTGCAAGGCCATTGGGTGCCTTCCTGGCATGGGGCAACCCCTCCTGGTGCAGGCCTCAGGCTATGCCCAGGTGCAAACCCTTACCCAGCAGGAGCAACTGGGACCAGCTGTGGTCAATAGAGAGAAAATTAAGGTGTGAACTTGCTGTAGGGAGGAAGAAGGGCCTGAGTCTTTATAAACTTGATTCAGGCTAGGTGTAAGTTTTTTTTCTACGATGCTGCAACGTCTGAAGGAGCTGTGAGAGGCTGTCTGGGAGAGGGCCTGAGATGGAGAGCTTTGGACTCGCTCGGGAGGTAGGAGCTGTGTGAGAAGCGATGGGGATGTGGGGTAGGCACAATGATGGAAATGGTTCCTTGCTACCCTTAAGAGCTGTGGAGTGGGTGTTGTGCTGTTTTAGATGTGCCTTCCCTGTAACTCGAAGGGCTCCAAGGACTTGGTAGTTCTGGTTACTGCTTCTTTGGGGACTGGTGTGATGAGCAGACACAGAAGCAACATGATTTACATGGAACTGAAGGATGGGGGAGAAAGCTGCTCTGTGCAAATCTGAAATTGGTGCGTGTGAAAGTCTGGGAAGGGCTTGTAGAGGTTCCCTGTGGTGCTGCTTCTTCTCCTCCCTGGTCCTTCAGCTGATGCTGGGTCTGCTGCCCTCCACCCGTGGCTGCAAGTTCCAGGAGGGAAAAGAGTTCAGTAGAGGAGTCTGGGGTTTTCCGTGGTGTCTGTGCAGATATCTGGCTTGTTTCATGCTTTGCTGAGGCTCTTCCAGACTTTCCCTTGCTTGTCTGTGGGACTCAAGCTAGAGCTAAGCAAGCCCAACCTGGCTTTTGATCCCTGGGTGCCAATGTGTCCCCACAGAGAGTTTGTATCCAATCTGCACCTAAAAGCGGATGTGAAAGGGTTTGAGTTATGCATGGGGTCCTGTCTTATCAGTCTCTGTGCTCTTTGATTTTTGGAGTTCCTTGGCTGGAGAACAAAGGAGGCAGCCTGGGTATGGGGAGGATGTTGAAACTCGGGGATGAGCGTGGCAAAGATTCTGCTCCAGAATCAGGAGTATAGCTGGAAGGGAAGGAACTTGATAAACTAGTGACATGCTGCCTCTGGCTGGCCTGGCAGCCTTTTATCCTCCTGCATTCATCTGCCAGCCTGGCTGGTCCGTTCGACACCTGCTTTCTTATGTGAGAAGTCCCCAAACTACCCACGGTGTTTCTTATTTTTAAGGACCTCAGTCAGGTACAGCATCAATGTGTAATTTTCCATTCTTGGCAAGGCACACCCCAGGAAATCTGGGCCAGCCATCTGCTGGTAATGATTGTCACTTGGGGCTGTGGGTGCTCTGGGGCAAGTACAGCCAGTAACCAGCATGCAGGAATATGGTAGGAGTTGTGGGGGGAGCTTCTGTGTGTTACTCAACTCTCTGGTCGTGCTCAGTCTGAAATGGAGTAGAAATAAATACTGGTTTTTAGAAATTATCCCTAGAGAAATGTGATCTTCTGGCTTTTTAAGCAACTTGTACTTTGTCTAAAGATTTAACTTAGGAGACAAAAAAAAGGCCGGAAGGGTGTGGAGGGCAAGACTGGGTGGAATCACCTGATTTTCTGATGTATGTTTGTGTTAATCCTACCTGTCCCCTAATGC